CCTACTCAGGGTTTACTGAGATAGTGTTCTGCGCTGTTACGAGTCAGGAGCATGTAAAAGGATACGGAACACATTTAATGAATATGCTAAAAGATTATCACATCAAGAACAACAAACTGCATTTTCTAACATTTGCGGATGAGTTTGCCATTGGATATTTCAAAAAGCAAGGATTTAGCAAAGAGATAAAACTGCCGAAGCCGATATATCAAGGATATATCAAAGATTATGAAGGAGCGACATTGATGCACTGTGAACTAAATGCTAAAATAGTGTATACCGAATTTACAGCGGTTATCAGGAAGCAGAAGGAGATTGTGAAAAAGCTGATTCACCAAAGACAACAAGAGATTCAAAAAGTTCATCCAGGGTTAACGTGCTTCAAAGACGATGTAAAAAGTATTCCCGTCGAATCCATTCCAGGAATTCGCGAAACTGGATGGAAAAGTTACTGTCAAACGAGAACAAGAGGTGTAACGAAAGGGACGCAAGGTTCAGAAGTTGGAGATTATTATACAGATATGTCAGAGTGTCTTTATAACTCTTTAAATAATGTTTTAAATAGTGTGAAAGTTCACAGTGCAGCTTGGCCATTTGTGGAACCTGTAGACAAAGACGAAGTTCCGGATTATTACGATCACATAAAATATCCGATGGATGAGAAAAGAAGATACATTTTAAAATACCATACAAAACATTTTTCAATAATAATGAAACATTAAATATAATGTTAAAATGAGAAAATCAATCAAAATATAACACAAAATGAAGTATATCAATCAAAGTATAACACACGATTATTATTTATGTTGCAGATCTTAAGACTATGGAGGAACGTTTGAAGTCTAAATATTATGTGACAAGAAGATTATTTATCGCAGACATGATACGAATTTTTACAAATTGTAGATTATATAACAGTCTTGATACCGATTATTATCGTTGTGCCAGTGCTTTGGAAAAGTATTTTCAGACGCGTATGAAAGAGATTGGTTTATGGGAGAAATAGAACTTGTGTCGTGTGATATGTAAGAATATAAAAAAGATAATGAATTGTATTCATTATTTATTCCCTTATTATCTATTTAGAATAACTATTAATATTGTCTGTTAAATTTGGAAAATTTCAATCGGGAGCGTCTATGACTAGAAATTAAAATAAATTTTTCACAAGATTTTCGAGTTGTAACATACTTGTAACACAGTATATATTGCGTGAATAAACTTAATAAAAATTCGTATATATTTAATAGAAATTTGTTTAACGAAAATTTGAATCCTTCAAATAAAAATTCAATCATACAGCAGAGATTTAGAGTGCGTTCCTTTGTTCACTCCGAATGCTCATGCTATGACGTAATGAAAGTGTATTGCGGCTATTTCGTTCCGTTTTACTTTCGTACGCTTTCTAACTGCTTCAAGATTATAAAACGGAACACAGTTGCAGTATGTTGTCTGAAGCTCCAACTGAAATAATGGCTGGCACATCTAATATTAAAAAAAAATATAATTTTATTATATATATTAAATATAATATATATATAAAATTATTAATATGTATATATACATAATGAATAATAATATATTAATATATAATAAATT